GGACGGTGAACGTATACGAGAATATCCGTATAAACCCGTACGGGGTGAAAACGGGGATGAACTTATCCTTACCCCCGCTATACCCATTAATATATAAATATATACACACACACACATATGCCCTAAGAGTCTTAGGTTCCTCTTCTCTTCCTCCATCGAGTCCCCTCTCTCTCTCTCTCTCTCTCTTTGTCTCTCACGCTTAATCATTGATCACTGCCTGAGATCTTTTACTTGAGCAAAGGCATAGAAAGGTATAGAAATGTCTCATTTTTATTCATTGATCTATTGATTTGGCTGCTAGTATTCTATTTTGATCTTATTCAGGTTTGATCTGCCGTGGTTTAACCTTGGAGTGGTGATTGGTCAATTGATGTTTTAGTCATAATTCTTCATATTATGTTTTTATTCGGATTGGTTATATGATATTGAATAATGGTCTAATTACGATTTGATTGAAATTATGCATATGAGTGATGTTATATTATGCTGTGTTTTGAAAAGTTGGAGTCTTTATTGCTCCCTTTATTCTATTGTAGTTTCCATCAAAATTATGGTCCCTTGTGTGGAGAATAATTTATTTGGGAATAGAATGACTTATGGTAGCTAGCTAACACATGATTTGGATCATATGTTTAGATCTCACATTTCCCATTGAATCAATCATACAAACAAGCATTGAATAAGGCTTCTTATTGGAATTCCTTGAAGTAGTTGAAAAATTGGGCTGTGGTATGGAACTTGCGCAAGATTCAAATCTATATCAGGGGAGTTCAGTTATCTTTGTTTTCTATTTTTTATGTACTTACAATATCCCTTATATTGATGGAATTGCTCCAGGCGTATGAGTAATAGGTATTAACTTTGTGAGTTGTGTTATGATTTTCCATGCACCTTTGTTTACCTATTGAACATTGTTATTCTTATAAACAATCATGCTTATTTAGTTTTAGTTTGTTTTTATTTGCTGGCCCAAGCTAAATTTTTAATAGGGTATTAACTTTGTGAGTATTTACAGATATTAATAGGTATTAAACATATTTGCTGGCCCAGGCTAAATTGTATTTGTTGGCCCTCTTATTGTATTTTTTTGATATATTTGGTTTTGTTTTCCCCATCTGTTGTTGGTTGAGAGAACTACACACACTGAAAAGTCGTGTTGAATAAGTGGTAAGATTAAAGGGTCTCAACTCTCGACATAGAAACGACATAATCAACTATACCTGTGAGTTACCATTGAAAAACCGTTCAATTATTGCAACTTTGTTATCCATTTCAGAACTTAATGCTCTTGTTGACTCTTGTTCTGAGTTTATTGTTTGCTTTGGTTTTTATTTAGTTGATTTTTACATAAAGTTGATTACAAGCAATGGATAAATTTCTCTTTCGAAGAATTTATTTATTTTTTCTTTTGAGTGATATAGGAAAATGATGTTGAAGAAGTAGATTCTACCACCACCGATAGTGTTAAGAAATGATTGAGTTGATAATTTTTCAAATTCAACCAATCAATTTTATTAGTTAAAATAAAATATTTTTATGCCATTATTATAGTTTTTTATGTTTTATTTTCTTTATTAAATTACAGGTGTTAAGCTACATGACATAAAAGTTTTCATATTACATTGTTTGTGTTATGTTGAATTATATCAAATTCAAATAATTTTTTAGACATTTATTGTTTGTATTATATTAGAATATGTTATGCTACATTATATTGCATTAGATTATGTTAGATTATTTACAATGTTTTGGATTATTTAAAATGTTAAATTTATTTAAAATTTTGGATTATGTTGGCTTGAACTTGAGCTTGGGCGGATACGGGGACGGGGACGGGGATGAAAATTAGAAATTTACCCGCAGATAAAAATGAGGATGAAAATTATACTCGTTAATGGGAGTGAAGCGGAAATGGACGAAATTTTTTAAGCGGATACCGAAATGAAGATTATAATCCCCACCCTCGCTTCGGTCCATTGACATCCTAGTCTCATTGTCTCTTGTCTCTCGTATGTGGGATACAGTGCAAAGCATGAAAATGCTTTTAAATGTTTTTTGTTCTACCCATGTTGTTTCTATATATGATTTAAAAGACAAATCAATAATAATACAATTTAAATAATTTATTTATATGTTTGTGTATAAAATTTATTTTTTTAAATTGTATTTTTATTAACTCATTTTATTATATAGATGTATCACAAAGTTATATATATAAATTTGACACTCTTAGTGATGCTCCTCTCAATTTTTTTTAAAATTTTGTGCTCTAATGCTCTGTTTGATTTGATAGAAAAATAGATGGATGAAAAGTTAGAAGAATGAAAAATTGAAGAGATAAATAAAACATCATGTTTGGTAAGGAAAATATGAAGGATGAAAAAGTGGATGAATTAACTTTCTTTTCAACTCACTAAAATCAGTCCCTCCAAAATCAGAAGAAAAAGTGGATGAAAAATTAATTATTTGTGTTGAGATGTATCTTATTTGTCTATATATCTTTTAATATCTATATAATAAAACAGAAGTGTGTTTGAATTTTATCCCAGTCATATTTTTCTCAAAATTATCACTAATGACTTACTTCACTCATCATCTCTTTGTCAGACTCATACGTCAAATCTTATCACTTATTTATATTATATGTTTAATCATTTATATATTTCTTTTCTAAAAATATCATATCACTTAGTTCTATCATATATTTAATCATTTAATATATAATTAATTTGTAGTTAATATATTTTGAAAAAAATTAATATAATGGGATCGATTTTTTAGACGCTCGAATTTTATATTTTACCGTGCCTTCAGACACGAGTTATGACTAGTATATATATATTATGTATACATTAATTTCATATAAAAATATAATGATAAAATATGTATTTATATATATATATAAAATTAAAAATAAAAATAAAAAATTTAAATTAAAAAAAAATTCATCTTAATTAGGGATAAAAATTTTCGACTTAACACGATAACACGAGTCGAAATTGACACGAATTTTATGACACAAACTTGATTATAACTCGATACAAACTTGAAAATGATCTGACACCCGAATTAGAAATATAAAAGACTCATAATTTTATAATTCAATACGAATTTAACACGATACGACTCGAATATCACCCTTAATCTTAGTCAGAATAAAAAAAAATTAATCATTTTTTATTTTTTATCAATCTAATCAAATACAAAGAAAGGATGATGTATTTCTCCTACTTTCTATCATTTCTATTTTTCATTTTTCGTACCAAACAGAGTGTAACTCTCGCTCCCGCTCTTGCTCGAACTCGCGCTTGATGTGATGTAGGAGAAAACCTCAAATTACTATCCGTAGGTAAAGAGTATAACAAAAAAAAAACATATTAGACTTGGCCCACGATAATCTATCAAATTGTATACTATTCTTCTTAAATAGAATAGTTCAAAACAGCCAAAAATAAATAAATTCAAGAGTTCAAGAGAATTCTGCCTCGAAGCTTGACACTTGGCAGGCGTGGATGATTCATAAATTGGACTCTTCTAATATGACTTAACTAAAAGTCCACCATTTGGGTATGACCACAAAATAATAATAAAAATAGAAATGCTGTGCTCCACATATTATATTCTAAATTTTCTATCTCAAATGCATGGAATTGACTATCGTACCGAATTAATAATTTCGGTACCATACCCTCAATTTTTATTATTTTAATAATTTTTATAAGTTAATTTATAACAAAAAAATTTATCATTTTTGTGAATAATTTACTACATTTATGAATATTTTTATAACTGTTGTGGGTATTTTTAACACATTTGTGGTAACTTTTATTATTATTATTTTTGGTATAAAAAATATCATATTTATTAGTATTTTTATTATATTTGTGGATATTTTTATTACTGTTGTGATAACTATTTTTACTATTTTTTGATGTACCACAACAGTAATAAAATGAATTACAAATATAGTACAACAGTAATGCTATACTGACTAAATTTTAGGATTAAATTAAGAGCTCAAATAACATAGCAACTGACTTTGGTCTTTTTATTTGGTGTCATGTCATTTGGGCCTTAATAAATATTCCAAATAATCAAATGTCGTGTCATTTGAGCTTTTGATTTGGTCCCAAAATTTGATCATCATAACATTACTCGTAATAAAAATAACCTCAAATGTAAAAAATAGAGATATGATACCAAATTTTTTTGGATACCATAATCTACTCCCAAATGCATTTGTATTACATATATTATATTGTGGGGCCCAAAAAATTAACATTTTTCACACCACACGTTGAATGAAAAATGTTACTCTCTCCATTCCTAAATATTTGTCATTTTACATAAATTTTTTTATTCCATAATATCTGTCGTTTAATGAAACCAAAATATAATTAATATTTTTTCTTTTAAATTTACCTTAACTTTTCAATGTATTAGATTAGATGGAATCTAAATGTCTTTCATATTCTTTCCCTTCCCAATATGTATTGAATAATGATATTTTAGTCTTGTGCAATTATTTTTTACTCATATTACAACTATTTAATAGCTTACTTAATTCCTGTACAAAAACCTTAAACGACAGATATTTAAGAACGGAAAGAGTATTTTTTTGGGCCCCACAATATAGAACAAATGCATTTGGAATTAAAAATTTAAGATATGATTTGAACAATATAACATTTCTCATAAGGAAAGAGAATAGTATTAGTGTTTGTTTTAGTCAATTTGCCGATGTGTATTAGTTAATGCTTGAATCTTTAAATTTAAGACTGAGAAGCTGGCCTAAGAAAGGTCAGACTGTCACACAGTCAAATGATATTAATTCACATTAGAAAAATGATAGTAACATGCTCATTAAGCTACCCTTCACATGGATCTATGGTGATACAAAGTACTCATTATGAGTTATTTGTCGTTATCAATTCATGCTGATAAGAAAGTGGTTGGTTAATCCAAAGTTAAAGCACAGTTGTCATAGTAACACCACGTATGTGGTAATCTGTATTTTAATCTAAGTTGCTGTGTCTGCTAAATCATCTTCTTGTCCGAAGCTCTCACCTACATACATATTCCCTTAGATCTTACTCGCCGCCGGTGAGTCATCAGTCAATCAGTTCAGTAAAGATGGCCACATCTTTGTTTATTCTCATCCACCTTTCAATCTTTCCTTCAATTTCAGGCCTCGATTTTCTCTTCAATTCTTTCAATACCAATACCAACACCAACATCACGCTCAACGGCGATGCCAAAATCGAGCCCCCAGTGATCCGACTAACCAACGATTCGAACCAGTTTTCCTTTGGCCGAGCATTTTACCCAACAAGAATTTCAATGAAACCCGTCTCCAATTCCACTGTTTTATCCTCGTTTTCAACCCAATTCGTATTTTCAGTACTGCCGGAGATCAGTTCAAGCCCCGGCTTCGGCCTTTGCTTCGTCCTCTCCAATACCACCGAACCCGCTGGAGCTTTCTCCGGGCAGTACTTTGGTCTATTCTCCAACGGCAATACCGTCGGCCCACTTCTTGCCGTGGAATTCGACACCGGAACAAACGCAGAATTCGACGACCCAGATGACAATCATGTCGGTATAGACCTAAACAGCATCGTATCGGTGAAAACTGAGCCCGCCGGATATTATAATTCCAGTGGAGGTGGTTTGGTGCCCGTGAATATGCGGAATGGTCAGAATATACATGCTTGGATTGAGTTCAATGGGTCTGAGTTTGAAATCAATGTCACCATAGCTCCAGCCGGCGTGGCGAAACCATCTAGACCTTTGCTTACTTACCGAGACCCGATCATAGCAAACTATGTGTCGTCGGAGATGTATGTTGGATTTTCGTCATCAAAGACTACCTGGGTTGAGCCACAAAGGGTGTTGGCTTGGAGTTTGAGTGACACTGGTGTATCCAGAGACATTAACACTACTAATTTGCCGGTTTTTAAGTCGGAGTCCTCGTCGTCTTCGTTGTCTCGGGGAGCTATTGCCGGAATCACTATTGGTTGTGTTGTTATTTTTATTTTTTTCTTGAGTGTTTGTTACTGGTTTTGGCGAAGGCAAGGGAACAAAGGTGAAGAAGATGATGAGATTGAAGATTGGGAGCTTGAGTACTGGCCTCATAGATTCTCTTATGAAGAGCTAAGCCAGGCCACCAAGGCCTTCTCTAAGGATGAGCTTCTTGGGTCAGGAGGCTTTGGTCGAGTGTACAAGGGAAATCTCCCCAACAACACTGAGGTTGCTGTGAAGTGCTTAAACCATGACTCAAAGCAAGGCCTTAGGGAATTCATGGCTGAGATATCGAGTATGGGTAGGCTTCAGCACAAGAATTTAGTCCAAATGCGAGGTTGGTGTCGAAAAGGTAATGAATTGATGCTTGTTTATGATTACATGCCCAATGGAAGTCTTAACAATTGGATATTTAGTAAGCCGAAGAAGCTAATGGGTTGGGAAGATCGGAGGAGAGTTTTGGCTGATGTTGTGGAGGGATTGAACTATTTACACCATGGTTGGGATCAAGTGGTTGTTCACAGAGATATAAAATCGAGCAACATTTTGTTAGATAATGAAATGAGAGGTAGGTTGGGTGACTTTGGGCTAGCAAAGTTGTATACACATGGTGAGGTGCCAAATACGACCCGTGTGGTGGGCACACTTGGGTACTTGGCCCCAGAGGTGGCTACATTGGCGGCACCAACCGCTGCCAGTGATGTTTATAGCTTTGGAGTGGTGGTGTTGGAGGTGGTGTGTGGGCGGAAGCCAATAGAGCATTGGGCAGAGAGAGAGGAAGATGCCATTTTGATTGATTGGGTGAGGGAGAAGTATGAAGAGGGGAAGTTGTTAGAGACGGCAGATGAGAGAATCAAGGGGGAGTATAAGGTGGAGGACATGGAAGCTATGTTGAAGCTTGGTTTGGCTTGTTGTCACCCTGATCCAGTTCGCAGGCCTACCATGAGGGAGGTGGTGGCGATCTTGGTTGGCGAGGTGGTGGCTGCAGCCCCAAGGGATTTGTTATCTGAATTGGTACCTGGTGGGATTAGCAACAGTGATGGCAGAGGTGAGGGCACAGAGGGGGCATCACCACCGCAAGTTCTGGTGTGAATATAGGTCCTTTCTGCTTATTATTCTGTCTTGATTTATTTTTGTAAATCATTCCAGTTTTCGTCGGGATTGTACAAAGTTTTCTTGAGCAAGGCACTAATGTGATACATATTTTTAACTTCATCTTGCCATTTTTGTATTACGAGTGAAAGATTTGTGTTATGTTTTGTGCAATGAATAGCTATTGCAATCTTTTTCATTCCTCGAATCAATTGTGCTGAAGCTGGTTGGTATTTTTCAACTGAACCAGTTATATGTGCAGCTGGATTGTTCCATTTTGTTGTTGGTTTTGGACTAGTGTATGATTAAAGTAATACTCTAATGATGTTCGAATATGGAAGCACTAAATTAAAGCAGTTATGCTCCCTTGCCTACGAAAAAGGACATGCATTCCTTGTTTGACCCTCCATAAGTCTGTTATGGTGGGCAGGGACCAAACTTTTGACTAATTATTGTATTCACCACTTTATAGGACTATCTTTCTGATTTTTTTTTATCAATATTTCAGTATAGAGTCTACATTTTATCTGTAAATTTTAGTATGTTGCACGCCCAAGTGTGGAACATTGCTTCACATTGTCCACTATTGCGACCATTAGGTTATCTAGGAAGTTCATGATTGAATTGTCAATGGAGGGGCTCCACCTACTGATCAGTTTGAGCACACCATGAAATGTCAAAGGACAGAAAGCATATTTCTTCTCAGCAAAATCTTATCTTCAGTCTATGTCAAACCCATGGTTTGATCATCAAGTAGGATTCATAAGTTTTCCTTTCATTTTTTGCTTCTTCCCTTTGCTTCTTTATTTGACCTTTGAACTTATAGAAGGAGGTGAGAAGAAGATCACATGCAGAATGGGGTCAAAAATGAAATTCAGGGGGATCACAGTGGCCAATCTGGTTTTGAGTTCTGCGATTATTTGAAACACCAAATACTACACGTATATTATATAGACATGCCCAAAGAAGCTAGCTTGATCGAGAAATCTCCCTTTTTTTTTCCGATCAGGCATGGACACTTGTTGACATTTGTGTGCAATTTGCCTGTGAAACTCGAATACTGGAAATAACGGTGAGACTAGAGTGCGAAATTCAGGGAGTGGAAATTGAAGTAGGGCTTCCTTCTCTGAGCACCCATAGGTAGTCCTTGAGAATTTAGCTTGCATAATGAAGCCACTGACTCTTTCATGGATTCAGGTCCACACACTAAGACCCCAATATTAGCTCCGCCAGTTTCATTTGGAAACTTCGAAAATATATCTGTTCAAAACACCATTAATTAGCTCATTTTATATTCTTCAATGCTGAAGGTGTATGCTAAATTAAATAAATAGAAAACTCCGTGACAAAAGGAATATTAAGTAATACCCTGGAAGTTGGGCCTTCCTTCAAAATGGATTTCATGTTCCTCACGAGCTCTGTTTGTTTCTGTTGAACTTGGTTTCGTAGCTTTGCCTTGTTTAACAGACAACAGTGAAGGCGATTTCCTCAGCTTTCTCCATCTCACTATAATAGCCACCAAGGTGCTGCACATGATCGTTATAGCAAAGGAACATATGAGGAGGAGATCATTTTCTGAAGAGGGATTCTTCTGTTTAGAGGGATTTTTGGCAGGGGGAAGAAAGACGTGGTTAAAGATACTAAGAAAGATGAAGAACAAAATTGATGAAATCCCTGCAATGGAAGCCATCCAAAGCAAACTCTCAAGTCCATATGTTGCATAACTCGAACATTTTGTGTCAAGATCTATGGTTAGCACGTAAGAGAACTCATTTATTAGTTCCTTTAATGTTCTACCAGATGACTCTTCTTGGGTGACAAACACTTTCAGTTTCAGATGCAAATGATTGACATTCTGGTCCATGAGTTGAGAAAATATTGGATTTAACAGACAGATATCTTGGGACTTCTTTGCAGTGTAGATAAGTTGTATTCTTGTGGGGAATCTATTTCTGCCACTGTTTCGGTCAGAGGCAATTTCCTGCAGAATGCTCAGAAACGGCGTTACCCCAATTCCTCCAGCAATCAGAAGTAGACTGTCATATCTGCACAAGATTTTCGGGAAGAAAAAAAAATATGATGGATTATTATAATTCTATAGACGGTCTAAATTAAGACAACTTCATGTCTGAGATTGAAGACAGTTCAGCAGTTCCTAAAAGAGTGTAGAGAATCCTAATGTCAAATGATCATTTTGTGCACCTTAAGAAGTCCACTGATGCAGGTCCATAAGGGCCTTCCAGTCCAATTGGAATACACTTCTTTTGATCAGCATCAGAGTCTAGTTCAGCCTGCAATATGTTACAGAGAGAGCTTGTCCACCATCCCTCACTTTTGATTATAACAGACATAGTGTGATCATCAACAATAGAGCTAGAACTTATAGTAAAGGAGTGCCACTGAAATTTGGATATGATTGGTATCTTCATGAATATCACACTTGTCGGGGGATAAGTCAATTCTGAAATCAATAGAGAAGATCAGTGACTGGATTGCTTTAGAAATTAATACATAGTCAATCAAAAATTGAGGACTAGGAGATGTACTTGGGTCTTTGGGCAGCATCAGCTCTATGGCTTTGTTTGGGAAAACTCGAGCAGATAGGATGCATGTTCCTGGCCTTGACTGTATGATTCGGAGTAGCTTGTCTAGGCCAAAGAGAAAAACCCCGGGGAAAACCATATAGAAGTGGCGATCTCCAGCATGAAACAAGAAGAATACTAGGAAGACTATGTACAAATGGTGTGTGTAGTAAAAAACTTCAAACCGTTTCCTTCTCATACATGGAAGTGACGTGATCCAAATAAGTAGCCCTGCAACAAGAGCGATCTCCCCTGCAAGGTATATTCGGCCTGTTTTTTGCCATTTCCACATCTGTTGTGCAAGCAAAAGTTGTAAATCAGTGCTCAGGTTTTCATTACATGAAAATCATATATTTGAACTGGATCATATGTACCTCATCCTGAATGCGGTGTTTGATGCCCCAGATGAAAAACGTGCCGACACCGTGCAAAGTGGCGAAAAGTATCATTGCAGTCCCGAGCCAGATGTGATATCTTACAGATGCTTCAAACTGGACACCAAGTAACCGAAATATAGCCATTCCCCTCAAGACTGGCAGAAGCAGCAGGGCCAGGCAGGCTTCTGCCAGCAGACCACAACGGACCGCCATCTTATAAACCTTGAACTGCCATCTGAAAAGCATCAATGACGTTGAAATTCTTGATTTTCAGAGTCTAAGTATACCAAATTGGGATCGTAATAAAAACACTCACATATTCAGTTTGAACGCTTTGTACGGAATTATCTTCTTGAAATCATTAGAGATGTGGGCATAGAAAGTCCATGCTAGGAAGAGGATGAAGAGGGATATGGCAAGGATCTCAATGCTGGAAAAAATACCTAGGTAGCTATTGACAACGAGCGGGTTGGAGAAAGCTGAGATTGAACTTCTCCCTTGTCTGTCATCCAAATTCAACAAAATTAGTGTGAAAAAAATCCAGAGGCAATGAGCTTATGCTGCAAAGTATGTTTTTCTTACCTCCTGCTTAATTCCCTTGGTTTGAGTTCCAGATAAACAAACCCAATAATAGCTAAAGCAATAACAGGGAATGTGTAGACAGCAAAATCAAGACCTGCACAATACCCTTTCTGAGATGAGGACTTGAAAAACACGTATATTTCTGATTACATAATCATTCTCATCTTGATTATAAGTTTTTCTACTACAGTTCTAACATTTAATTATTAGCAAAGTCGTATTATCAGTCTACAGATCATTTTACGTAAAGGGATTTTTTTTTTTTTTTTGATGCAAGTAGTTTTTCAGAGAAAAGCTTTGGATGAAATTACCATTATAGCCAAACGCTGTAGTTCTAGCGCTTTCTTCTGCTCCATGCCATTTTCTTGTCCATAGTTCTGTGGGCTTAAGGAGCCAAAGAGATATCCAACCTGCACATATTATGATCATCACCAATTTGAGAATGGAAAGAGAAGCTCTTGCCATGTCGTCCTATATTTCTTGTTGAATAGAAAGGGTTTGAGTTCATATGATGTAGAAGAGGATAGCTTTAATATAGGAATCCGCTGAGAGATGTTCTTTAGGAGAGAGAAAGACTGTGAGTGCCCACAACAGCATTTTGAAGGGTTGCTGTAGCCTTTTTCTTGCTGTCACATCAAACTAGGAGTTTTCTGCTGTCTCCACCGCAATATGTAATGGCACTTAGAAAATGTAGGGCGAGCCAACCGATCCAACTTTCAGGCATCAAGATAGGTTTCGGGCGTAGATGAGACATATTCCCAGATTTTCCATCACTTTGATTTCATCTCTTGCACCATAAGAACTTGAATAATGACGCATATGTGATACTAATTGGTTAATTCATATTGATGTCATTTCATCATTGAGTTGAGTGGAATCTTTAGCTTCCTGTTAGAACATCGTCTCCTCTGATAATTGGTCCAAAAAATGAATAGTGGATTCGTGGTCCACCATCACTACGTTTGCTTTCCGTTCATTTTGAGAAATTGCCTTTATCCTTGGATAGGAGATTGGACTTGTAGGTCAAAAATGCCGTCCTATCTTAACTTGTTGGTTTTGTTTTCTTTCTTGAAGTGAACCAAACCCATGACTAACTGATGGAAAATTGAGTGGTAGTCTGCTAGTTCTTGGTTGATATGGACCCATTTCAGGACCGCTTTTCGGATTGAACCTCTCCATGTATATGTACTACTTGATTTTCCAAGAAATGCATAGGAAAATGCTATGAGCTGTGTGATGTTAAAACTTTGAAATCCTACAAAATGTTAGGTAAATGTTTCTGTAGATAATTCAGCAATACAGGAATTAGAACAATTCAAGTTGTTCACAGTAAGAAGAAGCTAAACTCAATTGAGAATCGCTTGCCTCTCGTCCAAAGAACTGGCAGTAGTATTGTACTTTGAAGCAATTGATTGTAATCAGAATAAGCTCCTTGTAGTACCTACAGTTTGGTAGATCTCGTGTGTGTGTGTGAGTGAGAGAGAGAGAGAGAGAGAGAGAGAGAGATGAAGCAACGAGTTGTTTTAAAGTGTCACTTGCACTGGTCCAGATGATTGGTATTGGGTTTGTAACTTTCTCCCATATCTCTATCATGTTCAAGCCTGCAGAAACGTGTTTTTTGTAGATGAAGTGGACCTGTATCGTGCAATATGATCATCATGAAGGAAAATACTTGTGCCACTTATAAGCAGAGAATCAGCCTATCGCACAATCGAATATCTTATGACTTATCTGTCGAACCAGAAACAGTAGTGTAAAAATTGAATATTTGGTCAACTTTGACCCTAATTTAAAGTTGGACTCGTTCATTGTTTTGTGTAAATTTTTATAGGTTCATATTCTATTATGTGAGGAGAATAACGTAGTATATTCACTTGCTCAAATCAAATAAGAAATGAATATGAAAATAAGCTCCAAAATGACCTTCTTGAAATGTGGAAATAAAAGTTGTGCAATATGGAATTTGACACCAATCTTACTTTGGTTAAGGAAGAAGTTAGACATGAGCATATATAGGCCAAGTCTAGGTCCCAAGGGGTACCACAATTTTATAAGCAGAACGAGTGCCTACATGCCTTCGATTCTACCACGACCCGACCCAGCCAGGCTGGGCTCGGGTACGGGTATGAGTGTGGTTTAAACCAAACCCTATCTTTTTAGAAAAAATTCATTTAATTAATTGAGTGAGAATTTCTGAATCGAAATTAAATTTCAGTACCTATTACATTATAATTTGTTCCAGTTCGGAGGGTAATATCATTCAGTCTGAAATTTTGAGTTGTGTCTGTTCATAAAGAATAGTTACACAAGTGGTGTCTTCTAACTGTTGCATTTGTCTTTTGAGTTGTGTCTTATAGTATGATGGTTGTTCGAAAAGTCACCAGAATGTCTATAAATCTCAGACTCTCATTACCATTATGTATTCATTCGTTCATCAGTTCATGTTTAGAGTTAAGGTAGACATTAGAGTATTGCAAATCGGCATTAAGACAGTCTGCATTTAGAGAGTACACAACACAATTTCTGGTTCGCTGGATGGGTAGTTGGAGTACTACTTCTATTTGTATGAAGATCATTGTATCCTAGGAGGTAAATGTTTTATATTCCATAAGCACTGTGTGTGGGAGCAAAATCTGTCTTAATGACATAGTGTTAAACACTAGCCTTGATCTACCTAAAGTTCAATAACAGTTCTTGTTTTGTAATCGAGTCAGTATTTAAATTATTTAAACAAACATTTACGTGTTAATGTTTCTATAAGATAGCTGTAATTGTTGAGTTAATTTTTTTGTAACTGTTTCAATTTTCTGTGTAACTGTTTCGCACTTGATTGTTACGATTTTGTTATATATTACATGTTTCAAATCAGAAATTTCAATAAGTGATTTTACTATATTTGGAATACTTCAAACAATAATCTTAAGACAGATTTTCGAATTTGTATAATTGCTTGTTGTGTTTCTGATACATATTTTAATATTTTAAACTGTTCTAAAATATTGCAAATTGTTAAACCTTGTTTTTACAATCTGTGACATTTTGAATAGACTTGAAAAATTTTGTGAAAAATTGCATATTCTATTTATGTGTTTAATTCAAACAATTACACCAAACTATGACTCTGTCCATGCATATGATTCAAACAGTTACAACAAATTGTTACAGTTATACCAAACAGTAACTTTGTTTATGTGTATGAGTTAAATAGTTACACTAAACAGTGACACCATATAAAAATGTTAAAATAGTAACTTCAAAACAGTGACACAAAACAGTGATACTGAACAGTAATATAAATTGTCTCTACTTTAATAACTTGCTTGAAAAGTGTTACTGTTTTCCTATTTTTGAATATTTTATAATCTTTGTTTATCAGAAATGCTTAAAAATGATAATAATATTCATGCTACTATAAATCATATTGTGCCTGCGATGCTTATTTTTGTACCTACTCATGTGTCTCATGGGGGGGGGGGGGGTAGCTTGAAAAGTTTAATGGAAACGATTTCAAGAGATGCCAATAGAAAATGTTGTTATATCTTACTACGTTGAATGTTGTAAATTTTTTTTCGTAAAGATGTTCTTGTTTGTAGTGAGAATGAGACCAACCACTAAGTTATTATTGCGATAGATGCATGAAAGTATTTCGAGTTTCTATGGCAAAATTATATCTTTAATGGATTGAATAATACATTATATAATGTGTATAGTCTAATCAAAACGGCTATAGAGCCGTGGGAATCATTGGATAAAAAATACAAAACGGAGGATGTCAGAATGAAAAAATTCGTTGTGGGCAGATTCCTTGACTACAAAATGGTGAATTCTAAAACTATCATAAGTTAAGTTCAAGATCTTTAAGTAATCCTATATAAGATTCATGCCGAAGGGATGATGTTTAGTGAATCTTTTCAAGTGACTACAATTATTGAAAAATTATAGTCAAATTAGAAGGACTTTAAAAATTATTTGAAACACAAACACAAAAAAATGAAACTTGAAGACTTGATCGTGAGATTGAGGATTGAGGAGGACAATAAAGTCTTTGAAAAGAAAATTGGTAATCATTCTATGGAGTCAACGACACATGTGATTTAAAAAAGATATAAAATCAACAAGAAAATGAAGTATGTTGACCAATAAGTGCCAAGAGTGGTAATTCCAAAAGGTTCAAAAGTAACTGTTTTGTGTGCAAAAAATTAGGACATCATGCAAAGGATTATCGAAGTCGTAAAGCACAAGAGAAGCACAAGAGGAAGGCTGTCCAAAGCAATATAACTGAGGTAGAAAAATTTCCTGAAAATATTTCTAACATGAGTGTTTCTGTTGTAATATTTGAAGGGAACTTGATAGAAAATACTAAGGAATTGTGGGTGGATACCGGGTCTACTAGACACATATATTCGGATAAGAAAATGTTCTTTTCATATGAAGTAATTAATGATGGAGAACAACTATTTATGAAAAATTCATTTACTTCCAAAGTTGAAAGCAAAGAAAAAGTTACATTGAAAATGACTTCCAGAAAAGAACTTACTCTTAATGATGTGTTACATGTTCTAAAAACTCGAAAGGATCTTGTGTCTAGATCGTTGTTAAGTAAGAAGAGTTTTAGGTTGATTTTTTAGTCTAACAAATTTGCACTCACAAAGAATAAGATTTATGTAGGCAAGAGATATATAAATGATGAACACTTTAAGATAAATGTAATGACAATTGTATCTGATTTTAATAAAAAAAAACACATCTTTTGCTTATATGGTTGAGTCTTCCAATGTATGATATGGTAGATTAAGACATGTTAATTTTGATACTTTGCGTAAATTAATGAATTTAGAATTGTTGCCTAAATTCAATATTGATGCAAATTATAAATGTGAGGCATGTGCTGAATTAAAATTATCTAGAACATCATTTCATAATATTGAAAGAAGTAATGAATCTCTAGAGTTAATTCATAGTGATACATGTGATTGAAATATGTTCAAACTAGAGGTGAAAAGAAGTACTTTGTTATGTTTATTAATTATTGTACAAGATATTGTTGTGTATATTTGCTAAGGAGAAAAGATGAAGTATTGAAAAATTTATGCATTGTAAGAATAAGGTTGAGAATCAACTTGGTAAAAAGATTAAGACAATAAAAATTGATCGAAGTGGTGAATATGATGCACCTTTCGATAAATTTTGTTAAGAACATGGTATTATTCACTAAATTTTTGCGCCTTATTTACCTTAGCAAAATGAGATTGTTGAACTTAAAAATAGAACATTGAAAGAGATGATGAATGACATGTTGATTAGTTCAGGATTACCTTAGAACTTGTGGAAAAAAATTTTGCTTTCAGCAAACTATATTTTAAATAAATTATCCCACAAGAAGTTGGACAAAATCTCTTAAGAATTATGAAAAAGTCGGAGTCCTTCCTACAAATATTTAAAAGTGTGGAGGTGTTTGATTAAGG